ATGTGAACTACTCAATTCTGATAAATGGTGGCTTACCAATAGATTTCAAGCAAGGAAAGGACTGAGGCAAGGGGATCCCATGTCCCCTTACCTGTTTGTCTTAGTGATGGAGTATCTGAGTAGAACATTGAAGACTCGTAAAGACATCCCAGACTTCAACTTCCACCAAAAATGTGCCACATTAAACCTAACTCATATCTGTTTTGCAGATGATCTGATTATGTGTTGCAGAGCTGATAAAATCTCTATTCAACTAATGCTGGACAAATTCAATCATTTCTCAAAGGTGACAGGAGTCATAGCTAACTTGGAGAAAAGTTCTATCTATGTAGCTGGAGTTACTCAGGATTTCAAAGACATGATCAACACTGACTATCAGTTCAAGCTGGAAGCTCTACCTTTCAAATACCTGGGAGTCCCTTTATCCTTAAGGAAGCTATCAATACAGCAATGCATGCCATTGGTGGAGAAGATCACCGACAGAATAAAGTGCTGGACCTCAAAATTCCTATCTTATAGTGGCAGAGTTCAACTGATAAAAAATATGCTATTTGAGATGCAAACATACTGGGGACAAGTGTTTATGCTGCCAGAGAAGATTATACAATTGGTGAATGCTGTGTGCAGATCATTTCTATGGACTGGTAGCCAGATCCCTTCAAAGAGAGCCTTGATATCTTGGGACAGTATTTATATGCCAACTTCAGCTGGTGGTCTAAATGTCATGGACTTTACATGGTGGAACAAAGCAGCAGTATGCAAACTAATGTGGGCAATACATACAAAAAAAGGATGCTCTCTGGATCAAATGGATTCACTCTATCTACATCAAAAGGCAGGACTTCCTTACAATGAGTACTCCTAATCAAGCCTGTTGGCTAGTAAGAAAGGTGTTTGATGTTAGAGAATGGTACCTAACTATAGACTCATTTGCCAACATGAACAAATTCTGCAGGAAGGGGTAATTCAATATTCAAAAGATGTACACCTTATCGATACCTCAGTTTCCAAAGGTTCGATGGAAAGCCTTAATGTTATGCACCACCATACCTAGACACAACTTCTTTCTATGGCTAGCACTTCACCACAGGCTGGTCACAGTGGATAGGTTGACAGCATGGGGAATACAGGTTGATGTGAGATGTGTATTATGCAACAGTGGAAAAGAAAAAACAATGTCTCACTTATTCTTTGATTGCCAATTCTCAAGGAATATGTGGAACATACTGCTAAACTGGATGGGAGAAAGACATCAAATTGGTACCTGGGATGAGGAAGTATTATGGTTGATGAAAAGAACAAAAAATGGCAGACCCCGGAATAGCATCTTGGCATTTCTCTATGCAGCAGTGATATACCATACGTGGATAGAAAGGAATATGCGTAGGTTTCAGGGGAAACAGACAAATACAAAAAAGATTATACGTGACATTGTTCTTCAACTACATACCAAAGGACAACAGAAGATAAAATGGAAGAAGATATTAGAAGGAGTAGATAGTTTCCCTCTATGAAATGTAGAAGTAGAGGAACTATTATTATGTAAAGGATAGCTGTCTTTTTTTGATAGTCTTTTGTTTCTAGATGTTATTTGAGTCTAACTCCTAAGTCCAAAGGAGGTAGAGGTGCTGTAAATTCATTACTGGTTAAATAAAAGTTTTAATATTTGACCAAAAAAAAAATCACATATAATTAAGTAATTTTTAAGATGTCCAATATTTTGGTGTAATTATAGATATATCATATATTGATTAAATTTTTAATGACTTTATGATTTTACTTTTCACAATTAGATGAAATCTTAGAAAAACTTAATAAAAGTCTTTCACACTAAATATTTAACATATTTATCTATTTAAATAATTCTCAAAATTATTATTTTGGAAAGATTGGTTAAATATAAATTGTCTCTCTAATAGACCAATACCGAAAACAGTTTCTTAAATGAACTAGTATTGGAACCCCACGCATTGTGCGGTCAATATTAAAGAATATTAATTATAATTTGTCTTTTTAGTATATTATATTTTGTTGGTTTAATACAATTTAAATTGCATCTTATTTCTCAATACAATATTTCATTAACTAAACTATATGAAATTAAAGAAAATGAATTATTTAGTCATCGTATAACTTTTTTGTTTCTTGTTTTTCTATATTATTATTTTGTTATTTAATATTATTATAGAATTAATATAATAATTTATTAGCGTATCACTTGGCTTAATATCATTTCCACTATTACTTCTTAAAAAATATTTTTGCATTATCTACTTAATTTATTTTATTTTTTTCAATTAATTCAATGTTGAATATCCTCATATTATCTCTATTCCATCTTTGTATATTTTTTTCTACTGTAATATTATAATAATTTTTTTATTATGAATTTTACATATAATTGAAATAATCATATATAAATAAAATTGTAATTTTGAATTTTTTTCAAAATAAACAGAAAGGTAATTTTACTATTTTGTCATAAATTTATTAATACTGAAAACAGTATTTCTTAAATGAATTGGTCCAACACATGTGACTAATTTCCTAAATATTTTTTTGAAAATCTTTGACTAAGTGCCTTTTGTGATTAGATAATAGATTTTGGAAGCTCGGCAAAACGAGCTGTGTATCATCTTATGTAATCGGATAAATAACTAAATATTAATAACGCTTAGGAGCCTAACTGATATCCCTGCGTTTGTAGTCCAACGGTTAGGATAATTGCCTTCCAAGCAATAGACCCGGGTTCGACTCCCGGCAAACGCATTTTGTTTAATTTTATGGTATGGTTATCTGGCTGAATTTTTAACTTGTCAACTTTCTGTATCAGCAGCTTTTCCATATTACATAACATAGTTACAATGTTCCTTGGATCTTTGAGACCAGTAATCATGAAGTTATGTCTCATAAAAATAAGGAATTTTCATATATAATGGGCCATAAAGTGTTGACTCACGTAAACATGGGCCATAAGCTTTCTTGGGGTTTTGGCATGGTATAACAACATACCCATATAATTGGCGGAAAATAGCCTTAGTTATAAATATTGGCATCAAATAGCCAATAAATGTATATCAAAATAATAATATGTATATTACAACTTCTTTTTTCTTCTTTTTCTATATCAACATGTATATTAAAATGTTATTTTTATTTTTTGTATATAAATAAGATTATTCTTTGTATATCAATAATATAAAATTATATATATAGTTATTGCTGCCTTTATATCAATGTATATCACAATAAAAATATTATATTATTTGTATATCACAGTGTATCGCACATCGGACACATGTATAACAAAATAGATATCATAAATTTATTTTTCTTCTTTGTGTATATAAAAATTAATTTTTTTTGCATACCAAAATATTATTTACTCCCACAATTATATTTATTATTTTTATATTTTAGAACTTGCTTAAACATACTATATCAAAAATTTATTTTCCTTTTTTGATTAAAAAACTAATAATTATATTATTTGTGTATCACAGTGTATAACATAATAATAATGTGTATATAAAAAAAAGTCATTTGAATTTTATTTTCCTTCTTTGTATAACACATTTCAGATTGAAAACTCAAGTTCAAGACAACTCCACATATGTATCCTCTATTGTAACCCGTGTATAGCTCTATGCACATCAGTGATATCTCATGTATATTATGTGTATCTGTGTATAACCATGAAAATTTGGGTTATATATACGATATACAATGTGATATACACGGGCGTCCATAACAAATTGTGTTGTATACACGATATACAAAGTGATATATACAGACGTCCTTAATAACTTCTGTGTGATATACACTGATGTACACGATATACAACGTGATATACACATGTCGTAGGTGGATTTTTAGGTCTGATTTTTCACTTGAATCAGTCTAAATCACTTCTAATCTTTCTCAAATTTTGTATATAGCCTCGTTTTGGTATTTTTAACCAATTTCAATCACACTCACTCATTTAATCCAACCAAAAAAAGGAAGAGAGAAGAAAAACAAAGTTGAAATATATTTTTTCTCTCTTGGTTTTTGCTAATCTTGCTCAAATTTTGTATATAGCCTCGTTTAGGTATTTTCAACCAATTTCAATCACACCCACTCATTCAATCCAACAAAAGAAAAAAGAGAGATGAAAAACAAAGTTGAAATATATTTTTTCTTTCTTAATTTTTGCTTCTAATTTTCTCTGATGTGAGATCAACCATACCTTTTCATCCCAGTGATTTTTTTTGTGTACAAATTTGCAAGATGCTAAACTATGAGAGCAAAAAAGAAGAGATAGAAGAAGAAATACAAGGAGAGAAAGGGGGAAGGAAGCCGAAATAAGCGTGTAGTTTTTTTTTTAGAGAGAATATAAAAAAGAGATTTTTTTTTTTTTTTAAGATTTGGATATATAATGCCAATTGTTTGGGGCTATCTTTGCCAAACCTAATATAAGGCTAAAAAATTATCAATTTCTATTATGTGTTGTTATAGGATGCCAATTTTTCTTCTTTGTTTCACAAGCATATTCATATGAGACTGTCACATCATCAGGAACCATCTCCATGTTAACTCCAACTGGAGCAAAATCTGTTGTTGTTGTCATCGTCATTGTTGAACACGGTGAAGAATGCCAAGAAACACAAACAACACTTGGCCGGGACTCGGGTAATTTCATCAAAGGCTCATCAGGGTTCATGAACACTTGCACCACTTTTCTCATTTTAGGTCGGAGAATTCTGTCGGGGTGTAAACATGCTAATCCAGTGATCAAACACCTCATAGCTTCTGCATTATCAAAATTTCCTTCAAGTTTTTGGTCAATACATTCCAATAATGCACCTTTCTCATATGAACTCCATACACACCACCAAACTATTCTCTTTTATGATCTCTTTTGATCGTCGTACACAAACCACTTCTAAAACAACCATTGCAAAGCTATAGACATCAGATTCCGGGGTAGCCCTTCCCGTGTACCTAACTTTCGGGGCTAACTATCCTGGAGTGCCAACCACCATTGTTGTCACAAAGTTGTCATTTTGTAGTAATCTTGCTAGCCCAAAATCACCCAAGTGAGCATTATACTCGGAGTCTAACATCACATTGTTTGGCTTAACATCTCGGTGTACAATAGGATTCCCACATTCTTCATGAATATACACTAGTGCTGATGCCAATCCTGATAAAAATCTTGAATCTGGTATCCCAATCAAGAAAGATTTTGCCTATGTATTTATCAAGACTTCCATTAGGCATGTATTTATAGACCAATAGAAGTTTCTCGCGGTCATGGCACCGGCCCTGTAACTGCACCAAGTTTTTGTGCCTTAGATGCCCAGTTGTACATATTCAGCCAAATATTCCTTCTCACCTAGTATAAAAACCATTACATTTTATAACTACTAGGTAAATGTTAAATTTTTAATAATAGTGTCTCACATTAGGGGAACTTAATGCAAAACAAACATTGGTTAGATGTCGCGTTGATTCGTTTAACAGCGGTAGTTGAAGGAGGATCAGAAAACATCCCTTTGTAAATACTTCCAAAGCCTCCAGTTCCCAATAGGTTATCTTTGCTAAAGTTTTTACCCTTGGAAAGTCTCCGGTAAGTAAAAAACCTGTGGAGCATTGGCTGCAGTTCTTGTTAGCATTTCGATGTCCTCTTTCCTCTGAAGTCTTTCTTTTCTACCCTTACGAGCTGAAATGGGAAACGACACAGCCAAAGCTAACGAGACAACTACCATAGGAATAGCAACCAGTAGAGCTATCTTTTCCTTTTCTGGATCAGACCCATACTTTAGAGATCTTTCTGGTAATTCATACAATGTGAAATTCCAGTTAAGAAGTTGATGGAACTTTGAGAAATAAGCAGTGGAAGCTAAAAATCCAACATAAGCATTTTGTGGAACTGTTTCTTGCATGATGATTTCTTGGCTTAGAAATTTCACTGGAGTTTGTCTTGCATATGCTGCAGAAATATCAAGAACTTTAGTCCATCCATCATAATCAATCTTGATTGTGATATTTCTTCCACTCCTTAGATCAATCTCAATATCGTTTAAACTTTTAACTGCTACAGGACTCTCCATATTTGTAGTCACAATAGCAACATGGTTTCCATCAATTTTGCGTTCATTTCTATATGTATCAAACTCCATAGCCAGCTGATGAAGTCCGCGCCCTGCATATTAAAAGTAGAAAGTCTGAGAAGTGATGGATCAAGAATTGAAAAACAACCAACTTTAAGTCAAGTTATGTACTAGGAGCTGACTTTGAGTTGATGGATCAAGAATTCCAATAAACGAGCCATAACTATCCGGTGGGGAAGGCTTATCATCTTGAGCAATGAGGAATGTCATTCCATCACCAAAAATTGATTGATTTGTCAAAATCCTTATAGTGAATATGGTGGAAAAAGAAGCATGCCATATAGGTATGGACTGACTAAACAAGATTCTTCCAACTTTGTTGGAATTGTTCTTTGGCTGATTAGTTTTGAGGTTAAGAGTTTCATTTCAGATCCCCGACATGTTAAGTTTCTGTCATTGCAACTTCCAACATCAAATGAAGGAAATGAAAAGTTGTAGGATTCAACAAATAGAACTGAGAATTGATTAAGCAAGACAAGACTGATTAGTAGCCTTAACATAATTTCAAGAATTGTGTATACTCATAATTTAGAAGGAAGTCCAGCATCATATATATATATATATATATAGGACGAAAATGTTGTTTAGTTGATTAAGAGAATGTTTTTTCATTTTTTCTGTCATGTTGAGAAAAGTGAAGACAAATTTCCATACAACAATGTTTGAATGAATTAGGGAAATGGAATTCTCTAGTTTGTGTGTCTTACTGCCATGTTGGATCCCATTTTGTACTATCTCAAAGTGGAAAAAAATAGATTCACGTCTACGTTTTTGTCTTGCTAGCTTGAATCACATAAAGATGGATAAATATAAAATATGATTCAAGATATTGCAAGATACAAAGGGTTAGCCTTACTGCCATTTCTTTTTCTTTTTGTAAAACTGTTTTCCTTAACCTTTTATATTTTTGTGTTACTACAATAATTACCACGTTTGATGAGATCATTACACGGGAAATCAAAAGAATTCTTACCTTTCATTTTCTTTTAGAATCGCAGCATCTTGGTGCAATCGATACAATTGCCCCTTCAACTGCAATGAATCTGGGTAAATACTTATTCGCGTGTTTACACTAATTTATTAAATATGTGATATATGTACAAACATGATTGTCAATAAATCATAGTTAATTTGTACGCATTCTCACTTTAATTTAACACATAATATATTAGTATGGTTTAGTGTATACATGTACTAGTACGGGTACCTGCCTCCGGAGTTCTGCATTTTTCAGTGCCATCCAATATTTTTCTAATTAAATTATATAGCACAACTGCACAACCATCTTCGTATGCCAGACTTGATTACCCATACAAATACTAACTGATCAGCCATATTAACCAATTCAACAAGTCTCAAAAGAAGAAAGCCAATAACTGAGGAAATTACTGACTTTTACCAATCCCAACCATAATTTAAACAATCAGATATATACAACCATCTCGCAACCAATCAAATAATCGATACTCATAATGAAATCCAACACAAATTCGACAACCAATCAATCCAATAGCCACCAATTCAACATGCAATATAAATAATCCTAAGTACAAAAATTACTGCAAATAAAATGTTCATTTATCAAGCCAACAACCAATTCAAATAAATAAAGCATGGATACAATAACAACGAAACTCATAGATTTTTTTTTTGGGTATATTAAAATCAAGCTCTGTCAGTCAAACTTATATAACTAAAACAATCAATCCACAATTAATTGTTTCTTAGTGTGAGTCTCCTAGTTCTCCAGATAACTCCTTTGATTGCTTAAAGAGAATACAAACTTAATTCAAACACAACGTATATAACTTAAAAAATCATAAATTTGAAGTTGATTAATTTACCATATATTTTTGAATTAACTAAAACATTCACATGATTTTCCGCTATTTTTCTCCTTGAGACATGAAATTCTCTTATCTAATTTTCGACTTCGATAAGTTTTTTATTCCTATTGCAAAATACGTTTTTCTTTGCATCAAACCTACTGATATTTTCACTCAATTATCTATGGAGTCCATTACTCAGATAGTCACCGAATTATATGAAATTATGGATGAAAATCACTTTTCTTTCATTGTAATAACAAACTTACTCAATTGTCCCTATCTCACTTTGATGATCACCCAAGCTGATTTATTGATTTCTTCGGTGGAAAATTGCTGACTTAACAGACCACATAGACTTTTATATTTTAGACCATTTTAAATTACTTATACTCAAACAAATTATAGAAATTGGGTGTATGGGTGGATTTCTATGATTTGTTTGGGTATAAAATATTTTAAATGGTCCAAAAATAAAATCTATGTGGATGCCAAGGTCAGCAATTTTTCATCGGAAAATCTGATTATCAGGGTGCAATAAAAATAATTGAATGATTTTGTTATTGCAAATACAAAAAAGTAATTTTTATCCATAATTTCAGACAGTTTAGTGACTATCTGAGTAATAGACTCACTATTTATGTTTCCTATGAAAATTATTCAACTTTTCATTTCCATCTTTTCTAGGTCACACAAAAGTATGACTTCTTCCTTATATCATGCTCACTTTTTGCTAAATAAAATTCTCTTATGAGGTTTTCAAGTTTAGTTTGCAGTTGTTTTCTTCGATCGGTTAGGATTTTCTACATAAGAGAGAAGTTTCCCACAATGTCAATTTAAGATTAAAAAAAAACAACGGAACTCAGATATCAATTAAGTCTGAGAAATACTAGCAGGAGCGTATGCAAGATTTTTTGTTAGCAGCGTCGACATTTAAAGATGTGATCAAATGAGCCAATTATTGTAATGACATCAAATAAAAAAGGGCTGAAAGCCAAATATATCCTTGTACTATGAGAAAATATTTAAATATACCCCTCATTATACTATCAGTCCAAATATATCGATGCCGTTATACTATTAATTCAAGTATATCCCTCCTCCGTTAAAGTTGCCCAAATTGAACACTTAATCCTACTTGACACTGACATTTGATGAGGTGGATGTCACGTGACATACCACCTGAACGCCGCTAACCCATTTATCCCTTCTCTCTATTTGTTCTTCCACTATTAAAATTTCGTTCCACTCCACCACCAATACCGCCACCATGACGTAGTTTTTATGATTGACCTGTGAGAAAAATAGGGCAAGCTTACTCCAGAAAAGCTGATGATTTTTAGGCAAAAAAGTGATGAGCTAAATGGGTTTCCAATTATAACAGTGTACCCAATTGTTGTAATATTGATTCAAACACATATGCTTTTCCTCAGCCTACATATCAAGAAATTGTGTTCGAGAAAATGAAAAGTAAGCTCTTTGGGGACAACGTGGGAGAAAGGTTTGTAGGGAAAAAAAAAAAGAAAAGATACGGTAAATTATGCCAATATGGCCGAATGAATTTTAAAGCTTAATGATGAGTTGATCCAAACAGTGAATTTTTTGAGGAATTATTTGTAGGACTTCGTTTTAATTAACTCACACGATGAAGTCGTTAAATATCTTAGGTAGCACTAAATTTCCCTTTGTTTCAATTGTACGAAATCGTCTTTTTCAGATATAGAGATGGTCACGGAGGCGGTGAGGGGTAAAAAGGGTTAGGGGCACTGAGTTGAGATGCCATGTGACATTCACCTTATTAAATGTCATTGTCACGTAGCATTAGATGTCCAACTTGGATAACCTTAACGGATGATGAATATATTTAAACCAATAGTATAAGGGCATGAATATATTTGAACTGAAAGTATAACGAGGGGTATATTTAAATATTTTCTCATAATACAGGTGTAACGACCCGACCGGTCGTTTTGAGCGTTTGCACTTGGCTCGCACGTTCTCGGACATGACTAGCCCCGTATGATGTATTATGACTTATGTAAATCGTCGGGTTTGGTTTTCAGGTTAATCGAAATAGATGTGGAAGAATGATTCTCAACTTGAAGCTTTAAATTTGAAAGGTTTAACCAAGTTTTGACTTTCTAGAATTCGGTCTCGGATTTGGAGTTTTATGATTTGGTTAGCCCTGTTAGGCGACTTTGGACTTGGGAGCGCGTCCGGAATGTGATTTGGAGGTCCGTGGTGGAATTAGGCTTGAATTGGCGAAATTTGAAATTTGGCGATTTCCGCTCGGCAGTGAAAATTTTGATATCAGGGTCTGAATGGAATTTCGGAAGTTGGGGTAGGTTTGCGGTACCATTTGTGACGTGTGTGCAAAATTTGAGGTCATTCGGACGAGGTTTGATAGGTTTCGGCATCGTTTGCGAAATTTGGAAGTTTAGAAGTTCTTAGGCTTGAATCCGAGGGTGTTTTGGTGTTTTGATGTTGTTTTGAGTGTTCCGAAAGTTCGTCTAAGTTCTATGTTGATATGTGACTTGTTGGTATTTTTGGTTGAGGTCCCGAGGGCCTCGGGATGAATTCGGATGGTCATCGGGGAGTTCGGAATTTGGAAAGTGCAGCTGAAGCTACTGTTGCTGGTGTTTCCGCACCTGTAGATTGGGAACCACAGGTGCAAGCTTTGCAAAAGCGGTCTTGAGGTGCAGGTGCGGCTTGGTCCCCGATCTGCGTGACTACAGGTGCGGTTAGGCGATTGCAGAAGCGGAGTTTGGCTGGTTAATGAAAATCCGCAGAAGCGGAGATTTGTCCTCAGGTGCAGACCGCAGATGCGAAAATTGGTACCGCAGGTACGGTTTTGCTGGGCAGAAAGTATAAATAGAGGGCTTCGCGTAATTTGGGTTATCTTCCACCATTTTTATTCAGACTTGGAACTTTTTGGAGAGTTTTGAAGAGGGAATCAAGGGGGTTTTCATTGAGGTAAGTTACTTGAGCTCAATACTCGTGATTATGGTAATTTTTTGTTGTTTGAGCATGTAATTAGTAGAAATTAGGGGTGAAAATGAGGAGTTATGGCTTGGAAATTTGAGAGTTTGATTTGGGGATTTGAGGGACCATTTGATGTCAGATTTTGATGAATTTGGTATGGATAGACTCGTGAGTGAAAGGGCTTTCTAGTTTTTTGATTTTTGTCGGATTCCGAGATGTGGGCCAGGTTTGAGTGAATCTCGGGATTTTGGTCTAAATTGATAGTTTTTCGTATGGAATTGGTTCCTTGGCCTATATTGATTCCATTGTATTGCTTTTAGTTAGATTCGGGACGTTTGCCGATTCCAGAGGCAAGGGCATCGTGGAGTAGGGATTTGACCGGTTTGAGGTAAGTAATTATTG